GCCCAAGCCTAGACAGGGGAAGTCGAGAGGCAGAGGTCGGGTTCGAACCACGACCTTCCGGTCAGTAAATTTGCGCTCTTACCACTCCGTCTGTCTCGCCCCGTTGGAAGAGAATAAGGATAGCTGAACACAGCATTTCAGCTACCAAACACAGTAATACGGAGAGATTATACTGCTCAAGTCAGTAAATTTGCGCTCTTACCACTTGGTCCGTCTCGCCCCGTTGGAAGAGAATAAGGATAGCTGAACACAGCATTTCAGCTACCAAACACAGTAATACGGAGAGATTATATAAACTGCTCAAGTCATGAAGTGTGATGCTTCCTTTCAGAGCTAGGATCATAGCATCTTGTTGTTGGTTTTCTCAGTTGCACGAAAACTCCTCGGTCTTTACGACCTGGGTTGTTGGAAGAAGTTCACCATGTGTTCACTGGTGTACACCCATATGTACCTTCACTTTTACGGCATGTAACGAAACAAAAAGGTTAGACGATATCGTGTTCATTGTTTCCTGGTGGAACATTCGCCCTGAACGTTTTGGAGTGAAATTTCCTGGGCTCATCAAAGTTTGGCTAGATTAACACATTCAGTTGTCTCGTTCAGTGATCACGTTCAAACTGTTTTTGAGCGGTCAGTTCGAAGCGTCAGCGAGAAAGACGTCGATTGCGTATTGCAAGTTGACTGTTGCAATCATTCTGACGCCAGTTTTTCCACGCTCCTGGCTCCACATAGACAATTGTCCGAATTACATCTGTCTAGAAGTCATGGACTGGGAAAATTGGGGTGTGGATTTAGGGTCTGCAATTGCTGTTGTATGCGAAATTGTTTGAGGGCCACCAGTTTTTTTCAGTGCCCCCCCACTCAACTTAGAATGAAATGTTGTTTCGGGAAATGCTGCCTCACATCGATGAGACAACACTGGCGTACGCGGACTTTGTGTGTGCTGATGAGTGGTTTAAGGTGGCTCCTGTGTCTGTTGGCTTCCGGTAGACGGTAGTTTTCAATTTTCCACCACTCTAATCTATCATACAGTCTAGGTAGTGTGCCCGCGGTGGCCGGTTGAGGTTCCCGATACGAAACCTTGATTGACGCGTGGGTTGACCAATCCTGAATGTCAAAAGAACGAATTGGGTTCGAAATTCTACGGTATTATTTACACAAGGGTAGGCAAATGTATACAACAGACCTCAATTATCTGCGTTCGTAGCGTCAACAAGTACACCAAGCGACGGCGAGCGGAATGTTGGGGATTGCGGTCTTCCCTTCTGACGACAATCTCATGATTCTCATTGGCTGTGCGATCATGAGAAAACAAGTCAAAGCAGGCTCAGCGAACGGGACACGAACGCGGCGAGATGGCCGAAGTGGTTAGAGCGCGGATTACTAACCTGAAGGTCCGCGGTTCGAATCTGACCTCCGCCACTCGACTTCCCCTGTCTAGGCTTGGGCAACCTGGCAGTATCCCAGCCCTCGTGCTTCCTTCGGGTGGCATGGCAGCTAAGGCACCTGAAGGGTGCTACAGCTGAACGCTTTATCTTTATCTAAGTAGGTCAGCTGCGCATATTCGCACATGCTCACACGCAAGCGTCGGTGGCCGTTGTGGCGATCTGAGAAAAACGAGTGGAGATTAAAAAGTGCATAGGCGGAGTAAGCAAATAAATGGAAGAATTATCATGAGGACAAGTTAGATTCCCTATCTCCATGCTAAATTTGATGTGAGGATTGAAACTATTGAGATAATCGTGGTAACTGTTCACGTCGTCATCATCATCAAAGACAACATCCGTGCTGACACTGATGCGTCACTGCCGTACAATCATAAGGTTCGTCCAATTATATTTAAAGCCCCAGGGTGAAATTTTTTTATTTAATCGTTCAGCTGTAGCACCCTTCCGGTGCCTAACTGCCATGCCACCCGAAGGTTGCACGAGGGCTGGGATGCTGCCAGGTTGTCCAAGCCTAGACAGGGGGAGTCGAGAGGCAGAGGACGGATTCGAACCACGAACCTTCCGATCAGTAATTTCGCGCTCTAACCACTTCGGCCGTCTCGCCGAAAGGAACTTGGTGCTGGACTCTCTCAAGCGAACAGACAGGTGCCCTGGCAAGAAACTGAGAGCACGAACGCGACTAACATCGATTAGCCGCCATTTCTTGCTATATCTTCATCCAAGCACAGGCGGGGTCACGGAGACTAATACAGATTTAGCTTTAATTAGCTGATTAGCTCTCCTTCCGCCTTAAATCTCGACCAACCCCGTAACCTAGTCACTTGACGAAGCTTTTGTCAAAAGCGAAACATTGCCCAGCAATAAATCTACCGCTTGTTCCCATACTCTTCCGAAAACGATGAATTCTCAATCGGTTACAGGCATTTTGCAAATGGCGACCAAGTAGTTTGACATTTTCGAATGCCGGAGACCTCTGGTTTCGATGTATCGTTGCTACTGGCTGTGATCCATGCCCATTTTGCCGTGTTACTTGCTAGGTCTCTCACGTTGAACAGGAAGTAAGTACCGAAGATCTCGCCGGAAAGTTGTAATTTCGTCGTTCCTCATCTCTCTCTATCTCTCTCTCTCTCTCTCCGGAGGACGATTCTCTGTTTCAACGTTCCGACCCATTTTATTGTAGTGTTCGCGTCATCTCTGTGACTTTGCAAACTTACTATCGAAAGTTCACAACTTTGCTCACTTGGATGCTTCATGGTTCGGCCTTGTGACGTGATATCATGGTTGTGCGCCGGTAAGGCGTGCGAATCCTAAGTTTGTTGCGTGTGGCGGTGAAGATGATAATACTCTTGCAATTCCCTTGTACCTCCTTTGTTTTCCGCAGCTCAATAACAATGTCCGGCATTAGTTTCCCCCCTCAATCAATACCCTATTAACTACCTCATATTTCCGAATCTCCCCCCTTAGGTCGATATTCATCCTCTCCTCTCGCTTCTCCTAGCCTCCAAGAAAGTTTCATTTTCCTAGGTCGCTTTTTTATCCCTACGGTTGCTTCAATCAATCAATTAGTCACTCAATCAGAATCGCTTTCCCCTGGGTCGGTTTTTATACACGGAACGTGTATGATTTTGTATGAATATGCATGTACAGTGTGTGTGTATACAAACGCCGAAACTCTTTAACCCGCGAGCCCCCCTCATAAGTATTACCGCCTTGTGGCTCCAAATGTCTTGTTCGCTAATCACTTTTGCCTTGAGCTTGCTTGGTATGTATGTGATGATTGACTGTTAGTGGCTTAACGGAATGCGTCGAATTTGCATGCCTCTGAGACAGCAAGAATGTTTCCGGAAACTATGGTAGTCGAGTTGTATGGTTTCGGCATCGTCGCTCCCGCCGACCACACTCATTAGTCATCAACGTGGAAGCAGGTCGGTCGATTGACGTTAATTTCGTGGTAACGAGCAGCACACGGTTCATTATTTCTTGATTCCTCTGTATTGTGCTACGTGTAGACCAGCTTCAGTCGGGTGGTTTCTTCATCAGATCTATTGATTGTGTAAAATGCTCTGATGTGGTGCTTCTCTTGACCAGTAGTGCAATTGCGCTGAGTATTCGGGTGGATTATTTAGAATAACTCATCTGAATATTAGTGTCAAACTATACTTCGCGTTTTTGGTCGCGAGAAAGCAGCAAACTGCTATTTGAAGGATGTGCGTATGTAGCGACTAAACTCACCTAATTGTGCCGCAACCCTAGCACAAACTGATGCCTGCCTTAATTGTTGATGAGGTAGCTGTTGATCTAAACAAAGTCATTCAGCTGTAGCATGGTTTCGGTGTCTAACTGCCATGTCACCCGAAAGAAGCATGAAGCCTAGGATACTGCCAGGTTGCCCAAGCCTAGACAGGGGAAGTCACGAGGCATTGGTCGGATTCGAACCACGGACCTTCCGGTCAGTAAGTTCGCTGTTTATCTGTTCGTTTTTAGCCGAATGGCAAACTGCTCACACTGCTAACCGGGAAGACGCTGGTCGGAAACTCCCCGGAGTTTCGCAAGGTAGATGATTGACTGTTAGTGGCTTAACGGAATGCGTCGAATTTGCATGCCTCTGAGACAGCAAGAATGTTTCCGGAAACTATGGTAGTCGAGTTGTATGGTTTCGGCATCGTCGCTCCCGCCGACCACACTCATTAGTCATCAACGTGGAAGCAGGTCGGTCGATTGACGTTAATTTCGTGGTAACGAGCAGCACACGGTTCATTATTTCTTGATTCCTCTGTATTGTGCTACGTGTAGACCAGCTTCAGTCGGGTGGTTTCTTCATCAGATCTATTGATTGTGTAAAATGCTCTGATGTGGTGCTTCTCTTGACCAGTAGTGCAATTGCGCTGAGTATTCGGGTGGATTATTTAGAATAACTCATCTGAATATTAGTGTCAAACTATACTTCGCGTTTTTGGTCGCGAGAAAGCAGCAAACTGCTATTTGAAGGATGTGCGTATGTAGCGACTAAACTCACCTAATTGTGCCGCATCCCTAGCACAAACTGATGCCTGCCTTAATTGTTGATGAGGTAGCTGTTGATCTAAACAAAGTCATTCAGCTGTAGCATCGTTTCGGTGTCTAACTGCCATGTCACCCGAAAGAAGCATGAAGCCTAGGATACTGCCAGGTTGCCCAAGCCTAGACAGGGGAAGTCGCGAAGCATTGGTCGGGTTCGAACCACGGACCTTCCGGTCAGTAAGTTTGCTGTTCATCTGTTCGTTTGTAGCCGAATGGCAAACTGCTCGCACTACTAACCGGGAAGACGCTGGTCGGAAACTCCCCGGAGTTTTGCAAGGTACACAATTCTGATGATTCCCAATAAGGATGAAACATCTACACAATCCTTCTAGGCTTTTCAGCAAGGATTAGCTTCACTTACAGGATGCGATCTCCATTGAAATTTCAAAATCTCCCCAAGCTACCAAGAATATCCTCCCTTAGCGCAGCTTAGTAGAACAGAGAATGCTTGAAGTTGCAGTCGTACGCTCGATGTTGGTAGGGAATGCAGTCCATATGGCGGCTCAGTATGATTCCCTTTCGATGGCCAATTGCTTGATGGCGTCCGGCAAACACAGGTACTTTCTCACAGATCTCTCGTCGCTTGTATCTAGTCCGTTGAATGATGTTTACTGTAGTCATCTTTGGACATTTCGGATGGCTAAGATGATTTTTAGTTATCCGTGGTTGTGAGGGGCTTTCTGTCCAATCACGGGAAGCAATATGGGCGGGTGGAATTAGTGTACCTCGTTTTCATTCAAAACCCGAATAACAGTGATATTTACTTTCGACCAGATTGACCGTCAGTCGCATGATGGACCTGTTTTAGTTAGACTCGATTGTGCAATGAGTGAATCCCGTGTGGCACCAAAACCATCGGACCGAAATCACTCTGAACAAACGGTCCCTCCTTAAGGGTAACCACTAAAAATGTGAAAAAACGTTTCTAGGATGGACTTTTCTACGCTCTACCGGGAAACCGTTCTCCCCGAATGAACACAGTGTTTATCCAAAAGACTACCCTCTTCCGAACTTTGTATTCGTCGCGTAGGTTACAAATAAATCCCTGACCACAGCGAACAAATCAACGCCCATCACCAGACTGCTCCGCCTCAATGATAATGGAATTTCAACTGTGTTGTCAGCCAGTGCACTCAACATTTTTTGGTGTTGTACTACAAATCTGTTTTGAGTACTTGTACTCAGTCTTCATATGTATAACAGTGATTCATTTGAGGCAATCACGTGACATCAGTTAAAACGAATTACATGGCGCAGCTGGCTGCTAATCCTTCCTACGCTTCGTTATTTTGTTCACGCGACAGCATGTGGAACGAACAAATTTGCCTTGCTATGCGTAGCACCTGTGTGATTTGAACTTCTTGATTGCGGTCTTTAAACGCGTAACTTTCAGGAAGACCGATATGCCTAGCTTCGTTTCAAACAAACCGAACTGATTATTGGTTGTTTTGTAACGTAGCCCATAGTCCTTGGTGGTCCCTTCAGCATTTTGAATCCAACCAAAACTCCTTGGAGCCAGATAAAAGTGTTAGCTTCCTGGACTGGTCTCTTCTGAAGGACGACCGTGTCTTAATTTGACTACCGCCCCCATACCATTGGTCTGCATATCTTTCAGTGTAGCTCAGATCCACAGAGTTACTCAGCGTTCCCTGCTAACTCCTAAGGTTTTGGCCCTAGAGAGCGTAGCACTTGCAAAAAGACATATGCGACCAGTGCCGTGGTCCCAGCTTGTTGAGGTTCCCGATACGACGGAACTTTGAATCATGCGTCGCTGTGACGATCCGGAATATCAAAGGGAAGAATCGGATTTGGAAGTGTACGCAAAAGTATGCAGCAATTCATTGTCCAAGTTTGTGGCGTCAACACCTGTCTGAGTCTGTCACTGACCGACCCAGTGTCAAGTTCGCACACCAGACAACGGCGATCGGAATGTTAGCTCAATAGTGTGGGTTATAGTGGTATCTTCTTAGACCAGTCCCGTGATTCTGAGTGGTAGTGCGATCGCATGGAAATCACAACAGAACACGTCAAGGCCTTTGTGCCACAGTTACTGTGCTCCTTCCCTTTTTGCCGCCTGACTTCACTTTGCCAGTTAAGACCATGTTATGAAAAAATCGTTCGGTGCCTAGCTGCCATTCCAACGGGAGGGGGCACGAGGGCTGGGATAGTGCCAAGTTGCCCAAGCCTAGACACGAGCGGTCATGATACCAAAACAACATGGCATGAAACAAGGTACAACCACTGTTATAATGAACTCTGTAATCCGTGTCGCTCCATTCTTGATGTGTGTCCAAATTGCTGCCGAATTGAGGTGATTTGAAGATTGGCTGCACTGTCCATTTGTATGCCATGACGACGCGGGAAGAACGTGACATCCTAAGACGTCGGCAACGTAATAGGGAGCCATTGCCCTGTGGCGAGTGACCCATATGCCTTTTTTTGACGAACAATATAACTGCATAAGTTTGTTGCTTTTGTAAGTTTTTCCGGTCATAGACGATAGTCCTCTACTACTACTGCGTAAACAGACAGACAGTCTGTTATGCTTTGACTACGCGTCTTGCTGTTGGAAAAAGCCGGTTGGCGCTACTTACCAAAGGACACAAACAGTCCGCTCCCGACAACTGAATAACACGAGCCGTTTAGATGTATGGGAAACATGGGTAACTAGTTTCGTCACACTGTGGACGTACATCACAACGCACAGTTATCCTTCCCAATTTGCCTCCCCTAAATAATCACTCATTCCGATAGCAACCATTTTATCCAGTGAACTTTACCACTGGAATAATGGGCCACCCAAGCGGTACGGGAAAATCTTTTGACAGTTCATATCGTGCCGCTCTACAACAGAGTCGACCGTTTTTCTAAAACAACCAAGTGATGCGTGTTGTTTGGCATGGCGGTGGATTTTTCTGAAGCTTTGACGGGCCTACATGAGCGAACGCTAAGCAGAACTTTGGTCGTTACGCGCGATGCGCACTCTTGGTGACGACTAGTGAGCTTGATAGTTGATTCCATCGTGCAAAGGAATGGTTCGTTACTTGTGTGCAGTACAACGAATCATATGCGTACCTTTGAGTGTGGGTTCAGCGGTGTTTGGTTATCTGTCCTNTCGTCACACTGTGGACGTACATCACAACGCACAGTTATCCTTCCCAATTTGCCTCCCCTAAATAATCACTCATTCCGATAGCAACCATTTTATCCAGTGAACTTTACCACTGGAATAATGGGCCACCCAAGCGGTACGGGAAAATCCTTTGACAGTTCATATCGTGCCGCTCTACAACAGAGTCGGCCGTTTTTCTAAAACAACCAAGTGATGCGTGTTGTTTGGCATGGCGGTGGATTTTTCTGAAGCTTTGACGGGCCTACATGAGCGAACGCTAAGCAGAACTTTGGTCGTTACGCGCGATGCGCACTCTTGGTGACGACTAGTGAGCTTGATAGTTGATTCCATCGTGCAAAGGAATGGTTCGTTACTTGTGTGCAGTACAACGAATCATATGCGTACCTTTGAGTGTGGGTTCAGCGGTGTTTGGTTATCTGTCCTGGTCAAAGCTGAGGACATTCCCAATAGTTGATGGGGTGAATTACCCGAAACAGGGTGGATAGTGCGCATGGAAACTTAGTTGTATTACTCCAAATCCTTAGAGGGTCGCCTCATGAGACATCCTTGTCCATCATGAGTGAACTTCAGCTGTTTCTGGTTAGTGTGAAAGTCCCAATTAATGTACAGCTGTTGAGGGCAATTAATGAGAAGGTCACAGTACTGTCAGATGATAATAAAGCCACCAGACTTTTAACCGGTTATTTGCGTAAACGGTTGCCAAGCAACGGAACATCTAGAATTAAAACAACGCAAGTTTCAAGCACTGTGAGGAAGCTTCCTGGAAGTCAGACCAATTTAAAATTGCACCGAAACCTATTTTTCCTTGTGTCCAAAATATAGTTACCTTGATAAAATTGTTACTTCTAAAGTTACTCCACGAGCTAAGTAATACGTCGCAGGCATTAGCGCGTGATTTGGAAACGTTATCCGAAACTCACTTCTCACAACTTGGTGTTTTTTGAACGGAAATTCGCGACATGCTTTATCTCCGACAAAATGCACACGCCGCATTCATTTTATTCGGCAGTTAGACAACCCAAATGCGTAATAAATTGCGTCAGCTTCACAAAGCGGAAGATGATTTCATACATAATCCAACGCGTACTTATAAATTCAGCTCAGTGGGCCAGTTCTGACGTACCATTTGTCTAACACTTAAAAATGTCTCTGATTAAAAGTTCACAAAGCCTTTGGCAGAAAAGAGACAGAAGTGAAAATTCGACGGTGTAAATGACGATCACAGCAGTGATGAGTTTAATTCATCATTTGTATGTATATGTTTGTATTCCACATAATGGATACTTTGATTCATCCGGTTATACAGGCGAAAAAAGTGGTTCAGATGCAACCTGACGGATTTTTTTCAGCTACTGAAGTTCGCTACGCGGTTCACGCTGATTCCTTTCTTATCTGCCAATGAAGCTACAGATCGAATGACCACTCTCCGGTCATCAAAGCGTTCTATTGTGCACCGCTGGAGGCCAACTCAGATGTCCAGTATATGACCGGCAAGGCTGATTTGTTATGGGCGGCACTGCTGTGGAAACGGCCGGTGATTTTGAACAAAAGACACTGAGCGTTACAAAATCAATAAAAAAAGTCGTTGAGCTGTAACGCTACATAGCTGCCATGTCACTTGAAAGAATCGCTAGGACTGAGGTATTGTCGGATCCGCCAAGCCGAAACGGGATCTGGATCACTTGGGCTTCCAATCTCTAACTAAGCCAAATCTTTGAACATTCTTTGATCCTAAAGGAAACTACTCACAAGGTTGCTGAAAACTCGAATATCGTGCCAACTGAAACACGAGGCGGCCTGTGTGCAGCACATTCAGTTGTAGAATATCATAAACGAGAGATTCAGTTGAGTCTCTCGTGAAACCCAAATTGATTTGCAAATGAGTGTATTCTTTGATCCTGTTTTGTGCGGATAAACCGAGATTTCTGTCAATTGGAGCGGATAGTTGATTTTTTTTGGAATATTATAGTATTGTGTTGATCATTCACGTCTCAGATCGCCGCTTTAAACCTCCGTTGAGCTGAGTAGCGCAACTGGCGCCAGTGCGGATCGGCTAATCAGCTCTAAGAAACGTGCTTTCACCTATGCGGTATTGATCAGTGACTAGAATGCTCATACAACTATGGTTGCTTCAACGTGGCTCTTACAGTGTTGTTTGCGATCATATCAAAGCCCCATTATTGAAATCAAGCATGCATTTGGGGTGGCTATTCAAAGGCGATTGCAGTACGTCTATTCAGTCCTGCTGCCACTCCCGCTAGCAGTGCATTACTTCAGGAAGTTACCCCCACGAGCTTCACCTCGTGAAAGACATCGATGACTGGGGAGATACTGAAAGGATGGTTGGTATTGGACAATATCCTGTTATCTGAGCTTGGAATTGTACGCAGTCTTGTGCTTACTCTTGAATTGTACTTTAAATGCCACTCAGAGACGCGTGAATTCAAGCAAATTCCTGTTTGCCACAAGTATCACCCGCTTAATCAAGCTTCAGCATGAGTGAGCGATTCCGCTTTTGGATAGGCCATTGATGAATTCTTTGTAATGGCGACCCACTGTACTGACAACGCTCTGCGTGAACTATACTTCAAAAATCTGCTGCGTGTTGAAACTGGCACTCGACCAAATGGCCGTATGGGGAAGAGCATCTTTGTCGCTGCACTTAAACCTAGCGATATGGCTACTGATCTTAAATATGTGATAACGCACATTCTGTGAGAACAAAGATACTTGGAAGCGGCCTAACTCTCGTGCATCGTCCAGTCGACTCTATGAACTCCTGCTCAGCGCTATCCTATGCCTCTGGCTCCCGAGTAAGCTGTTCGCGAAAAATTATGCATAGTGCATTCACCTTGTGGGAATGCACTAGTACAATTTTAAACAACGCACCTTATTGCATCCATCATACGTTTTGATCTATCCCAACTGTGATCACCAAGTTTTCTTCTGGTCCTGCTGTCCAAATACACGTTGCCATGTCATGTCACAGTTAGCTACTTGGTTGATTAGAACATGTGTGATTGCTGTGCCGCTACGGCGTGCAAGTAACTGTTCGACCCCTCGCTGAAATGAGCCGATTAAGGCTGAGTATACTGGTTGTGTATATCTTTCGTAGCAAATCCGTGGCTCTGTGTGTTCGACTGAGTGACTGCTCACAAAAACAACCCCACGGAAAGAACTCCTTGGATGGCATGGCTCTTGATGTTTTGTTCGGGGCTTATCAGGATACTAGTGCAGTCCCGATTTGGCCCATCGAGGAGAAGTACTTATGGAAATTTCATGTTTGAATTTAGAACGGTCGGCGTAGACGAAGAAAACTACGGTCACATTTGGCCTCAGTTGGTTTTAGTAGGGTATATTTATTGGAATATGTTGGAATATTGGTAGCTCAGGTGCATTAATTGGCAATTGATCAGGCGGCTGTTGATCTGTTCGCCGAGCTTGGCAATTAATGGATTTGCAAACGTTTCGTCGAAGTAGAACGGGGTTGGTATTAAACTGCCTTTGCTCCACCCCGTCCCAAAAGAGGACCACAAACGTTGAGTGGAGCTGTTTGGTCTTTATTAGGAGAGAGCAGACGCATGTTAGTTGCTGACTTGAAACGTTGCGGAGGTCTCCTTTAGAGGATCGTCGCATGCCCGGGCTCGGGGACGTCCACCCATGACAACTCCCGCGATTGTTTTATCGTACTGCTCGTGTACTGCGCGTTTGTTCCACTCGAACGCAGGAACCAGCGGCCATACAGTGCAATATTCTAAACGTACTGTAAAGCCACCAAAAGCAATTCCAACTTCAAATTCATGATGGGTGTGACACATACAGGCGGTACATTCGCTCGTGATTTCTTTAACATGCAGTATCGGTGTTGTCGACATTCCATCTAGAAAAAACCCCACCACCACCACCGCCGCCGCCATAACTTGGGTGTGGTGGTACAGACATTGTGAGTCATCCCCAACCATCATTTAATCAGGCCGACCAATTTTTGACACGGGTGTTGCTGACATTGATGACAGTGTTGCGAATCGACTCGCGCTCAATCGATGCACAGCATCCGATTTCTGTTGATCTAGACTAATTCACCTCTTCACCTTGGCCCCAGTAGAACAGATGCCAAATGTTCACACGTTCACACACATGTTTACACGATGAGCGAAAGTTGGTTTTACTATGAGAAATAGCTGATTCCAAAACGTTTGCTATCGAATGCGAATGATGGCTGAGTGTCGCTGAAATTTACGCATGGCACATTGCCCGTTGCATTACAAATGATTCAAGCGTACTTTAGCTAATTCGGCGCTACTTCACCTCTCCTGCGAACGACTATACTATTACTCTTTCAGCTGCAACACCCTTTCGGTGCCCAGCTGCCATGCCACCCGAAGGAAGCACGAGGGCTAGGATACTGCCAGGTTGCCCAAGCCTAGGCAGGGGAAGTCGAGAGGCAGAGGTCGGGTTCGAACCACGGGTCTTGCGTTCAGTACATTCGCGCCCGAACCGCTTGAGCCACCTCGCCCTGTGAATGACCTTGATTCACAACCGAGGCAGAAACAACGCGACTACTTGCCGCGCGCTGTGCGCCGTATTTTAACCCTGTCTTCTTACCACATATTGCTGCCCCTGCTTAATCCAGCTGTCATTGCATTCATGGAGTTCATAGTGCTATTAGTGTTCTTTGTTAACAACAAAATCACTTGATAAATCAGAAGACAAGAGACCTATGTTTTGAGAGCGTGAGGTTACAACAACTAGGTGCACCTTAATCGAGCCAAATACAATACCAAAAATAAAAAGTTTCAAACGGTGGACTTATCGTTCTGAGTGTAAGTTATAATAGTTCCTCCGAGTTCGTTTGGGTGCAGGTTTCTTCTGGCAGATTCACTGCTTCACGTTCCTGGTTGTCCGCAATTTTCGGTATGTTGAGCCGGTTTGTGTTCTGACGCGCGCGTGATGCGTGTGTGTGTGCGGTTGACCGTGTTCTGTCCTCATATATATACGTCGTTGCAATGAGTAGAACGTGAAAACAATAATGGGAAATCACCTGGCTTCCTTCAAAAGGTCATGGAACGGGAGTTGACATGTTGTCGTATTCACGTCACGATGTTCACGCGTGATTGTGAGACGGGTAAAACGGAATGGGGGTAGTAGTGGCGCCGGTGTGAAATTGATTAGAGGAATAATTAAGCAGAAGGGTAACCGTTACAGTACCATCGTAACCGAGTTTGGGACAACGATGATCTTGACTGCCTCATTGGTACGAACGCTTGCAAAGTCTAACGACAGACCAGTTTTCATCAGCGGAGCTAGCATAGCGGTTGGGATCTTGGTGGTTTCGTTCCCCGTTATTCTCGTGTTATTCTCTCACGCCAGTTGTTTGTCTACTCCTTAACTCACGACCGTAGTCAGCTGACCAACTATTCGCATCCATCTTGTTTCCTCCAGGGGCCCAACTGACGGACCAAAACGCTGCCCAGCACAGTAATTGCCAGTGCTAGTGGAGTCTCGCAGAGCCGGATGGCAATTGTCGGTTTGTGAAGTAGTCCCCTCCGACGTTACCAACAATACAGTTGGAAATGCTCATGTACCTCTCTCTATTGTGCATCATATACAACCACACTGTGGATCTTGTTGTCCTGCTGCCCATCCTCAACTCCATCGCCCGATATCTCCACATTTTGTTTTTGTCATTGGTTGATGGTATCTTTTTTGACTGACCATGCGATAAAGTCACATGACCCATACTACTTGCGCTGCATTTGTTCATTATGCCTGCGCCTTTTGTCGCGCATGTGAATCCACTACTTCTCGGTCAACATTCCGTATAGCACATCCCCAAGCTGGTCTGTGAATTCAATTATGTGTGCCCCAGGTTGTGGCTCTTTTCGTTCCATCACTATTATCACTTTGATGTTTTCGACAGATGGCCGCTCCACATGTGTCGGGCGCATTCCGATGTTTGCTTTGTTGACATATTTATTCGGTTTTTACTTTCTAGAGCATCCCATAGCCCCCGTTTTTCTTTATCTTTTACTTGTTATCGACTACTCTATATCATCTATAACTTTATATCTACCTATTTTTTTGTTTACGGTGATCTATTTCCGTGCAATATGCGCCCCAAAACCATGACTGTTTTGCTATCACACACCTGAATTGGCGACCCTACTCATCTCAATTCCGCTCTCTTATCTCCCCCTCAAAAAAACCCCGTATACTGTGTGTAACCAGTGACACAAACAGGGGCTGATATGTGTGAAGGTCATTTTTTCTCCTTTCGATTCCAGCTGTTTTTTTCTAAACTTGTTTATCTATTTATCATCAGTTCTCCCTCCATGAACGCAGACAGACATTTGGACACACATTCCAACCGCGTGATGTTTTGCTATAGATACTATTTCAATTCTCTCCCTCTCTGTGTTGCGTGCGCACCCTGCGTACAACTTGTTCTGCTGCGCACATGAGCAAATATAGACTTGGGATGCATTAACATCAATGTTGATACCAGCAAGTTTCTTCCTAAATTTCCGTCGGGCTGGCCTGTTCAGGAAATGTCGCACTTTCTGTAGTCATCTTGAACTACTGATTCAAATGCTATTGTTTTTTCACTCTAGTGACAATGTCCTGATTTCAACAACCATTGACCTATTCGTATCCACATGGCTAAATTATTTTGGTAAGTCTAAGGAGGGTCGCTGGACGCGGACTCGAGTTTCGTTCCCATTGTCACTCGTCGACTGTCTGTGTTTTTGAATCCCGAGCACCTGCTCCGATAACAGTAAAATACCTAGTTTGTAAATGTGTGTATATTCGCTAATTTCGTGCAATTTGGTTTCAAGTAGAACATAGGGTTGACGGAAACTCGGGGACTGCGCCTACCTGATGTGCCCCGAGAAGGGCGAAACCGGTCGTGGGCTGTCGAGGAGTTTTCAGCAGTGCATTACGAAAATCCCAGTCCATTGCTCCCCCATTCTGGAACGGGCTAGTCTCCATAACTCCTTTAGGACAGGAGGATGACTGCCAACGGGGTTTCCAAGAGTCTGGGAACTGCTCACAAATAATTGACTATCAGTCTACCGGTAGTCAAATCTGCTCGACCTCCGTTTCAAGGTACACGATGCGTCAATGTGATTTTTCGAATAGGTCTCAAAACCAATACAAACTTGTGTCAACTAAAGGTGACCCAGAGCGCTTCAAGTCTTGGTGAACGCAGTGCCACGCATTCCCTGCGTGTATTTCTCGAGCCTGAATCTGCGCATACGATTGGTTGTGCGTACGTCTAGTGGTTGCTCGCGAAATTCACATCCACGACAGAGGACTGCATTGACTGGTTTACCAATCAGTAAGCACCATTGGTTACCCACTTAGTGAGACTGCAAACTTGGTAAGCAGCCGAGGGCAGTGTTCATACAACGAGGGAGTCAGATAGCGGGATAGAATTGACATTGCTAGTCAGTCATCTGTTTTTTTTTTTCATAAAAAAAGAACCCATGGTGTCATCATGCAACGATAACTGGACTGCGAAGGAATCGGTCGCTCACATTGCTTCGCTCAGCAAATTGATCTGAATTCGTTCATCTTTGCATGTGTTGTTCGTTCCTTCCTAAACGCAACTTCTGTACAGTGATTTGAGTTCCTTGACAATTCACTGTGCTCAAGAAGCTATTGTTACTATATGAGAACAGATGCGGTAGCCGCGAGCCACAGTTTTCTTCCAGCACAAACGTATTCCCCGCCTAGGCATGAATGTCTTTGAAACCTAGATAAGCTATTTCATGACTTGTTTGTCTTACGTGATAAGGAATATCGGTCCTGCCTAAGTAAGGCACAGTATTTGCAACCATTGTACGTTCTACGGCTTTGATAAGGTGATCCAGTTGAGTGAACATGCTTTTCTCCTGCACAACTATCGGCGGTGTGTTTCACACGCAGCTCTGGAAGAGGTGTCCGTTGGCCTAAAGTAAGGGCAACGGGACAGAACGCGTTGGAAACATCCATGCGTCTTTTCGTAACTTCTGTCACGACCTGAGGATCGTTAAATATGGACAAAACGCGCAGTGTTTGTTCGGTTTGTCCAGGGATTTCATGCACGAGTGGACAGTGCACAGGACGTGACAGATGACACAAAACGCAAGAAACACAACCATCATACACCTCAGGAGTCACTCAGATAAAACACTGAGTTGATTTTCGATCAGCGTTACAGGTGATTTTGAGATGTAATGGAGTGTAAATTCTGTTGATTTGCTTCATTAGCTCTTTGTTCGTCTCATTAGTTACAACAAGACACTTCGAAATTTATTGATTGGGATATATTACCTAACTCAGACACCTTACAGTGTACTGTAATCGCTTTGTTTATGCCTCTGCCTTGTCCCTCTTTTGTCCTGGTTACAAAGTTCACTCCCTACTTGTTTTCTTCCCATTTCTCTATTCCCAAATGCACGGGTGATGTGAACTGAGGGGAAATCCCGTGACCTGTTCCGGTCGACTAAGCCGAGTCATCGACCAATCGTAAAGCTTTTTTCTGTTACAGTCTTCCTTTATTCACCTGAGACTTTGGGAGTATCTTTAACCTGGAAGTCTATGGGCATTTCCCAACATTTTTTATTGAGTAATCTTTGGATAATCAATCTGAATGCACATGAAAGTTAACAGGATCGATATGGTAATACGCTCTTCAGCAACCTTGTAAGTAGTGTATTACGTCTATACAGTGTATCGTGGTATCTCAAATATCGTACCAACTGGAACATCTGGTGCGGGACAGTCAGTTGCTTAAGGACATAAACGGGAGATTTAGCTAGGTTCCGGGCTAGTCTCCCGTCAAAACCAAATTGATATCGCTAGCTTTGATAGAGCTTATGTGCTGATGGTACGAACAGACCATGTGGATGACCTTTCCGAAGCCATAGTCATCCGTATACTCACTTATATGGGGATAGTTTGCAACTCTATCCTATTTTCTCTTCGAGATTCTATTGTGAAGTTATCGAGAGGTTCTTTGGGGCGAGATGGCCCAAGTGGTTAGGGCGCGAAATCACTGATCGGAAGGTTCGTGGTTCGAATCCGTCCTCTGCCTCTCGACTTCCCCTGTCTAGGCTTGGGCAACCTGGCAATATCCCAGCCCTCGTGCAACCTCCGGGTGGCATAGCAATTAGGCACCTGGAGAGTGCTACAACTGAATGACAGGTTGTTTGAAATTTATCTGGATATCCTAACATGAGGAAGGTACTGAGTGCTGCTCCTTTTTGCTCATTCATCACTGACTCCAATTCGAGAATTCTACGGCACATACTACATTTACCACTACTATTGTTTACTTTTGAAGAGCATGGTCACAAACATAGCAATTAAATGCACGCGATGAAGTTGGAAGTGTTACGGTGAATATTAGATAAAGTGTGGGAAGCGCCTCATTCGAAGTCATTCCACCAGCGGTTCCAGTTAGACGGGTTGAATCCCGACGTATGTAAGAATGTTTAATATGGGAACACGCGTGTAAAGACCAAGAACCTAAGAAAGGACGAACACTGCTGAATGCTCTTGAAGGCGCGGCAAGCAATAGCATAGTCAAGACTCGCACCTCAGGCACAAGGAGTCCGTCCTGGGTCTGGTGTGAGATTCACTGGCAAGAAAGTACACTCAACACCATGTATCATGCATAGAAGCACGCAGATAGCCCACAATGGGAAGCGAACACAAGTTACTGACTGTGACCCTAGGAAGTCTCAGTCCAATAACAGCCTTGGACGATTAAGACATATTAAGCTATGTTAATTAATCATCGGTTGGTGGATCAAAAATTCGACATCACAATCACGATTACACATAGGGCTGGGATAATGGCGACGGAACAATCATCAGCACGGTACTTCTGATTCTTCTCATTACAACAGTCACTTCGCGCCCATCCGAGACTATCACAGTCCATCACAGTTGCTTGGCGCTACCGAAGAGCGACTAGGTCAGGCTTGAATAAAGACGTCGATGTAAATACTCTCAACTCCTCGAGGACAACGCACCCCATATGACGAAGTTTCGCTCGTAACCCGAGTGTGACGAGCACATCGAGCATCATATTCGATTCAGCAGGCCGGCACAATGTGCACCAAACTTTCCACTCGACCACGGTTTCCACGACAGAAGATCTGGTCACGGTGACTATGTGGCGCGCTTCTAACTCTCTTCCTTAGAAAGTTGCAAAAGCTGATAAATGCACGCGTTCAGGACACACGCGATTCGAGAGAGGCAAAGTGACCAACTCTCGCAAACTGCCATCACCAGCGCTCTTGTGCAGGCGAGCACCCCAAACAGCCACCATTTACTTGGTGTTTACGCATGCACTGTGAACTAGTATCAGAGGCTGAGATCCCGAACAAATGCAT